CTCTGGGAGTTGAAGTCCACAAGTCTTAAAGTTGACAAGGTTGGAGACCAGTTCTACAGCACAGGAAAGCAGGTGTACAGCCACTTTGTTCCCATTTACTGTGAGGGAGCTCTTTGGATTGCTTTGCACAATCTTCAGTCTAGCTCTAAACTTAATTTGGACTATGCTAGATGGGATCATTAGCCCAATAGTTTATCTGTGATCTAGTTTGGAGAACAACCGATATTTATTCATATATGTTCACTAGGTATAATGGAGCTACAGGAGAGATGAGGAAAGAAAAAAGGCAAACCAAAACTTAAGTAGAACACATGGTTTCCATTTTTGTTTAAACAAAAGGTTCCCCGTGTTTTCATTTTTCTTCTCATGCAAATAAAGCATTAATCCTCCCTTAACTAATTGGGGCTGGCAACTCTATTGTTAAGTGATGCTCCACTTAGCAATGGCAGTTCTTGCACTCCCAATTGCTGTCATTATGGAAAATCCACATGTTGGTTGAATCCAAGCCATTCTTGGAAAGATAAGTGGATTGCCTCCCCTTCCAACCCACCCCCACAATCCACTTATCTCCCCCTTCTCTGCCCTTTTGATTGCCCGTCCATCCAGTGCCACCAGCTGCCCCCCCCGCCACTGTCCGGCCCTGCCCACTGCCACATCTTCCACACCATGTGTCACAACAGGCCTTGGCTTTTGTGCCGGTTCAGCTGAGGCCTTCGTTCGGGTCAGCCTTTTTTCATGCGCTAGACATGTTCTTTTTTTTGCACTGACCTTTTGTGTGCTGACTAGGCCTTTCTTTTGCAAAAATCAACAAAAAGAGGCCACGACTGGCATGCAAAAGAAGGACCTGGTTGCCATGCAAAAGGACCCAGCCAGCATGCAAAAGGAGGCCCTGGCAGCACACAAAGGACATTCTGGCAGGCATGCAAAAAGAAAAAAGAAAAGAAAAGGACCTGGCTGGTACCGAAGAGAAGGACTTCTTCAGTAGTGGCATGAGGCATGCTGTGTGGCACACCCCCCCACACACACGCACACATACATAGTTCTCACCTACCACCCTGTGGACATTTCCACAGCATTTCTCCGAGTGGCCAGGATGGTGAGGCAGGTGAAGATGATAATGAAGGCCGGGAGGGGGAGGGGCAATTATAAAAGTAGGTAAGTCCACATTTTGTTCATGTAGCCACAAGGGCATTGCAACCACTAGAATTTTGAGGATCCAGCACTATTGTAACTTTGAACAGTTGTTTAATGAATGGACATTTAGTGAGGACTAGAGAAATTCACAAAGTCATTTAAAAAAAAAAAATCTTCGTTACATCTTCCTGACAGGAAAACCTAAGTTCTGCCTGCCAAGCCTTTGGAATGCTAAACACCTCTACTGGAAATCAAGCCCAAGTCCAAATTCTATTTCCTCCTTAATTATTCTCTCTTTTCCTTCTTCATAATTCTGAGGAACAAGTTAAAATTGGAAAAAAATGATGCAGAATAACCTGAAATAATTCCTACTTCTTTAATTCACCATTTCATAAATGACTGAGAACCAAGAGGTTTGTGAGAAGCTTGGTTCTACTTCATCTCCTGCATGGAAGGACTGATCCATCTCACAGCGTTTAACCTCAATTATCACATTAGCTATCCTTTAGTATTTAAGAAGCAAAGCAAAGCCTCACTATGGCCAAACAGCAAACTTCCCTATATATATATTTTTTTTACCTCCTGAGGCTCCCTGTTAGGACTGTCAAGGTGCAGAAGAATTACACGGTCCTTTGCTCCCACCATCAGCCAAGCCCTCTTCTCATCCAGGAGGAGTGACTGGAATGCAAGGTCAGTCTCTGAGTTCAACAGCAGGCGGGAGCTGTTTGATCTCAGCAGGTCTAGAAAGTAGAATGTAGACAAAGAAATGATGTTTTTTATCTTTGTAGTCCCCCAAAAGGGAAAGGTATTGATCTAACTTTTCTTTATCTTTAAAACCGACCAAAGAGATTAATTTTAAAAATATCAAAATATGGATCAATGACTCTGCTTTGATTTTTTTTTTTTTAAGACAGCAGACTGCTTAGGCCAAGAATCTTCAAACTTGGCAAGTTTAAGACTTGTGGACTTCAACTCCCAGCGTTCCTGAGCTAACAGGAGCGGAGGGGGAATTCTGGAAGTTGAAGTCCACAAGTCTTAAAGCTGTCAAGTTTGAAGACCCCTGGCTTACCCAAAGGAAACCAAACCTTTTAGTTGCAATTATATAGCGATTTGTCCGATATATTCTCATCGGATTGCAAGTCACATTCAGATTGCAATCTTGAAAGCAGTAAAATGAACTTCCTTCCAAATAGAAGCCAGTCACCCCAAGTCCAAGGAACTCTTGTGATAATTCTTGGAATTACCAAATGGCTTTCAAGTTGACTTTTTAAGAAGACACAGAAATCCCAGCTCTGAAGAAAGGTTGTTCTTCTTCATATGCTTTGGCAGTCTTAATATGAGATGTTGTTTTCACAAAGTTTGAAGGAGGTGCTTTTCATTAAAAATTTTCGAGGTTCATCTCTTAAGATATTATCAGTTCAGCTCTTTTTGTTCTTTTAAATTTTGACCAAGCTGATTAAGCACAACTCGGTATTTGAGGGCATTTCATCCCATCCTCCTACTAAAGTAGGAGACTTTTTCTTCCTTTCCAACAGAGAGAAAGGTCATTTCTTAATGGCCTGGTGACATTAACTGCCATGGTATAGCCTAAATAAAGCAAGAACTGTAATTAAGTTTCAACTAGGCACTGAAATCACTACTTCTGAATGGCCTGTTTTCCTTCCCACTCCTCTCCCCTGGCTCCCAATTTTTCTATCAAGAATTCAGTACCAATCAAGGTCACTGAAAATGTGCTCCTTGGTCAGTGGGACGTAGCAACTCAGGGGTCAAAGAGGAAACCAATCTATGCTTTGCTACCTGTCTTCCTCTCTAGCCTGTTTCTTCAGGACATCCCTTGCCATTGTATTTTCGGAGCGGGGAGCAACTTGGCATCCTCCCCCCCCCCCCCAAAAAAAACCCCTCAGCTGCATCTGTTTATTTTTATTTCTAAAAAGAGCATGCAGCCTACCAGAAGCCTAAAGTCAATATTTAAAAATAGCAATGGAGGCTTGATTGCATGCCATTGTTGGAAAGCAACAATAGAGAGTTCTGTAAATACACTAGCATTGAGTATGACAGATTCCTGAAGTTTTTATCCCCTTTAGTAACTCGGAAAGGTGGAGACTGGCCTTGTTTCACCAGAGCGGCAACTGCAGGAAAGTTGATTTTAAAAGTAACATCTTTGTGAGCTGTAGTGGATAGCATAAGAACAATAAATAGGAACCATAAGCCATCAGAGAGTAATGTTGTAAGCTCCATAGGGGATTGTTAGTGGAAGTGGATGTCTACTGAGAATGAGCTTACTCATTGAAAGCTATTATTATAGACATATGAATCCAGCACGGCAGTTGATATACATCATCCTAAGCCTATTTACGAGCTTGTCTGAATCTTTGCAGCCCAGATCTGATGCTCTACTAAAGGAAGCAGCTGAGGAGGGGGGCATAGGGGATAGCAATAGCAATAGCCCTTAGAATTATATACTGCTTCCCAGTACTTTTTCAGCCCTCTGTAAGCGGTCTACAGAGCCAGCATATTGCTTCAACAATCTGGGTCCTCATTTTACCAACCCCAGAAGGATGGAAGGCTGAGTCATCCTTGAGTCGGTCAGAATTGAACTGATGGCAATTGGTAGAATTAGCCTGCAATACTGCATTCTAACCCCTGCGCCACCACGGCTCTTGCACAAATGCCTTGGAGAGGGCTATTGCTAGGCACCGCTTATGACGATGATTTTTTTTTTTTTACCAATTTGGAACCAAAGTTAGGGAAGCAAGCTTTTGAACTGTGTCAAATCCATTCCAAGGCCACAGAGTTGGACTGTGAAACAAGAAACCAAATGGGGTAACATTTCTCAGTCTGGCAACATGTACTTTCCTAGCCTACCTCTGCTGTTTAGGAGAAAGAAAAAGCGCCCTCTGCTCGGCCAGCCTGCTACTTAGATGAGAATCTCTGTATCAGCAGAGATGCTACAGCTTTGGTGGTCTCCCTGATTTCCACTTGGGAAGGATTTGTTTCACTGCCCTGGTGTGCTATTGTTCTTGGCCTCCTCCTCTCAAGCACATCTTTCCTTCGCAGCCCTTGCCTTGGGTTGTCCCATTTCCTCTTGGCAGGCCCATCTGTTTCTTTCTCTCCCCGCTTCCTATTCTGCTCCAGGGCAGAGGGCGTCACTGGAAGCTTTCATAATGTAAACCCCGTCATCCTTTTCACCCTTGAACTTGGCTTGATATCTCTGAGTCACATCTCCTGCCATTCTCTGGGCTGCTCCCGTGATCCTCCTAAGGCTGGGAACTTCCTTCAGTAAAGACCCAAAGAAAGCATCTTTAACGTGATCTGCTAGACCTTAGGTCACCATGAACTGGAAGCGGGGGTGCTCCAAGGTTGTTCCTCAGCTTCATGCTTTCCAAAGAAACCCAGATCTATTGGTTTATTCTGTGGGGAGCCAAAATCATTCTTAGCAATATATCTCAAAGCAAATGCTTTGCAAATGTTTATTGCAACAATAAATGGAGTGTCTAGCTGAATCCCAGGTTGTTGTTCCAGGTTTGTCTATGTTGAGTTCCAGGTTGCCATCTTCCTCCCCGGTCCAAAACATGGTCCAATCCTCAAACTGCTTTCAGCTCTCCAATCATTGTTTGCTTCCAGATGCTGAGTCCCATATCAGTTACTACACAGGCCCTAGAATTATAGAGAGGACTGCCATTCAGGAGTATCTATGTTCCTTCCAATTAACTGATGTTTCCTTTATCAGAAAAATCAACCAACATTATCTTGAATTTCTCTATTTTTAAACCAAGCCTTTTATCAATCAGTTGTACCATAACAAAGTTGTGTAACTTGGATTTATCTTAAGATAGGAGTTGGCTTGCATGTGCATCTGTATGCCAGAAAATGAGCTGCGTATATAGGTACAGGTGGTCCTCATTTAACAACAACACTTAGGACTGGTAACTCAGTCATTAAGTGAAGCAGTTGCTAAGTGAAACTACAACTCTGCTTATGATTTTACTTTAGCTTTCATTTCTTATGTAGACTTATGAAGGCCTTGAATTGAGGAATGATCATAAAGTTACTTTTTATCATAACTGCAAACGTTCACTAAGTGAGGCAATCATTAAACGAGGATTATCTGTAATGGTTATAGTAGTATTTCTTTTAGGAAGAATTTAATATTTCCTCTCAAGGAATACAACGATACTATGGAAGAGAGGGAATTAGCCACAGTCCAGTTATTTGGAAAGTCCCTAGACAACATTGATAATTGTGACATTTGCCTAGAATGGCCCACATGGTTTGTTTGCTAGTCAACTGAAATTAGAATGTAAGAAAAAGGAGAATTCCCTTTTTGTGACTTGAATGAATACAGATCTTCAAATTCCTGAAAGCTTCAGTTCTAGCAGAAGTCACAGAACAAAGGTTGGAATCAGCAAGCCCCAGAAAGAGAGAAGGAACAATATACAAGGGTGAGACCGGTGATGGGATTCAAATAATTTAACACCGGCTCTCTGCCCTAATGATTTTTTCCAACAACCAGTTCACCAAACTGCTCAGAAAGTTAACAACCGGTTCTCCCGAACCAGTGCGAAGTGGCTGAATCCCACCACTAGGTGAGACCAAGGAGGGTGGGGAAGCAATCTGCATTAAATTCATTGTGCTCTCTGCAATGTACAATCTTCTCCACAATCCTTAGAGCACACTGAAAGAGTAACATGAAAAGTCCTACCTTGGTGTGAGAGGCGAAGGCGGGGGACCCATTCCTTCCAGGAATAGGTGTTCTCAATTATTAGCAGAATATACCAAGCCACCAGGACTAGCTTGGGGATGAAGCAATAGCACATGCCAAAAGTCAACCTGACCATTCCTTCTGAAGCCAAAAACACATAGACCAGTCAGAAAGTCTTATTCACACATGCATTTTCTATTCAAGGGAAGACATCTGCCAAGTACCTGCAAGGGAAATAGAAAAGAATCCTTACAAAAGACATATCCAGAAGGAGATCATGCATTGGCACAGACGTTTCTGGTCATTCTTACTAGAACATCACTGGGCTTGGTGGCTTCTGAATTAGAATTATGCTGGCAGTTGGCAAATATTTTTTATTTGTATAATTTGATTTGTCAATCGCTTACAAGATAATAGGTAAAAGAATAAACATAGTTATGAATACATGAAATGGATACATATAAGAAAAATAAAAAGAAACAATAGGACAGGGACAGTAGGCACGTTGGTGCACTTATTCACGCCCCCTACAGACCTCTTAGGAAAGGGGTAAGGTCAATAGTAGAAAGTCTAAGGTTAAAGTTTTGGGGGTTTGGGGAAGAAACCACAGAGTCAGGTAGAGTATTCCAGACATTGACCACTCTGTTGCTGAAGTCGTATTTCCTGCAATCAAGTTTGGTGCAGTTTACCTTGAGTTTGTATCTATTGTGTGCTCTTGTATTGTTATGGTTGAAGCTGAAGTATTCATTGACAGGTAGGACATTGCAATGTATGATTTTATATACTATACTTAGATCAGACCGAAGATGGCGTAGTTCTAGGTTTTCTAGGTCTGGAATTTCAAGTCTGGTGGCATAAGGTATTCTCAACTATTTTGAGCCTGAATTTCATACCTTCTTCATTAAATCAAAACTTGATTTTTAAAAAAATAGAGATGATCACTATATATTTCTTCTCCCTCTGTGGACCATTTTATTTCCCATGACCTTGCTCAACCTTGAAAAACTGCTGATCTAGCAATACAGAATTCCCTATAGAATGTATAAGTGTCTTTATTAGTCTTGCAACCCAGCCCAATGCAAGTATACCCAAAAGCAAATATATCTTTGATTATGATTATGGCATAAGCCTTGTGTTCTTACTTCTACTTAACCCACCTGGATTCATAGAGATACTAGAGTTTTAGTATATTTAAAACCCTAATTCTATCCATCCAACTAAAGGTGCTATATGTGTATATTCCAAAATTGGAAAATCAACCCCAATCGTGGGTTTCTAGTATTTAATATTTGACAATAGGTAAGCATAAGATATACCTTCATATTCAGGAAACCAAATTCTCTCTCATTAACTGGAAATAGCATTTCTATAAAAATAGTTTCAGAATGAAAGAATCCTTGGACATTTTCTAAATAAAGAATTTGTTTTCTGAAGATATTTTCCCGATATATAAACAGGAAATCCTCTCAGAATATAAAATTAAACTGGGAATAGTATTGAGAGTGTTTCCCCAGTGGGGAAGGTTTAAAAACTCCCATGTATCAAATCTAAAGAAATCTCTATTTTTTATTTATATTATACTACTGCTTGTCAGTACTTGTCAGCTGGAGAGCTGGGTTCGAGGCCTGTGCTCTGTGTAAGCTACTTAGCATGCAAATGCAAATAAATCCACTTTGTTAGGAAGGTAACAGTGTTCCATGCACCTTTGGCATATAGCTATGCTGGTCCTGTGACCATGGAAATAGTCTTCAGGAACACTGGAACCCTCAGCCATGAAATGAGATGAGCACCATCCCCTAAAGTTGGGCATAACTGACAGTGAAACCTTTACCTTACTAAGTCACATACTTTGGTATACTCATATATAAATATTTAATGGATTTGGTACAAATACAATATCAATATTCCTAAAAAGAATATATAACCAATTTTCCCCCACTGGCATCAATTCCAATTTGGACCAATTAATGGAATACCCTGCTATTTTGCTAAAGGCAATTATCTTTTTGCATCAACCCTGGGACAGCAATATAATGTTCAGAAATAAATGTAAATATGTTGTTTGCAAATAAAAATAACTGAGTTATGCACTACTCTGTAGATCTGCCTATGTTGTCTAATAGCACGAACCAAATGTTCCATTGCAGATATTAAAAAGCAAGGGGGAAAGTGAACTTCTTTGTGTAGTTCATTTGAAGAGGAAATAATAGGAGAAAACATGAAATTAACCTTTATTTTAGATCTGGGTGACTCATATCTTAATCCAATTTATGAATCCCAAAGGAGATCCTAATCTATTTAACTCAGCAAACCTATAGTGTTTATGAATTTTGACAAAGGCCTTTTCAGCATCTAATGATAAAGTTCTAATTGATTTTTGTTTAGAATCTTAATATACTAAAACTTGAGTGTTTCTTGAATCGATTGCGTCAGTTAGAAAGTTATTGAATGTAATATCAAATAAAAATGATTTGATCCTTTTTCACATGTCAAATTTTTTGTCACTAATTTAAAGGCAGTTAAAAATAATTTTAACCCGGCAGAGTTGTTGTTGTTTTTAAACCAACCTGGATTTACCGGGAGCATCTCTCTACAAATTGACTCCCATAGTGGCGACATTCTTTGACATCCGTTGAAGGAGTGAGACATTTCATGGAGAAATCCTGCCTCTCATTCTGTTCGTGTAATTTCCTTCTCTCCTCTCTAGTCCTGTTCTGTGATAATGAATATTAAAGCTATTTCAGCTATTAGCTATTTGCTAATTGTCAGCTTCCCAGGCTGATCAAACCGGAAATATGACCAGATGAGCTAATTCTATTTTATTGTAAGGCTAAATTAACAGAAATGTGTAAGTCTGAAATCTTCCATCTTCCCACCTTCTCTTTTTACAGCCTGATAAGTTAGGGTGGATCCTTTCTGAATTTCTTTCTCTGCCTGTTATGCAGCTGGAAACTTCCCCCACTTTAATCTGATTGTTCTCTAGGCAGCATCTCTTCCCCCTCCAGTCACCCACCCACCCACCCACCCTTCTTTCAAGGTCATTCCTGCATGCCATCACATCAACTTTTAAAGTCTTACCAATATATTTTAAACAAAATGGTTGTCGAGATAGAAAGGATGAGGTTTGTTTTGAAGTTTGTCCCCTCAGTTTGTATTGGGAACGACTTCTGAGTGAAAATAGATTCTGGCTCTCAATCTGCAAGAAAAGAAGTTCAGGTCTTAACACAAAAGGAGACAGGAAACAGGAAGAGCCAAAGTGCTTCTGATCTTTTGCATTACTGAATGATGTTATCATCAGTTCATCATTGAATATAAACACAATACGTGAGATCACGTTTGAGAGCAAGCTGTTAGGACAGAGGAAAGTACTTGATAAAATATGCCAATTAGCGTTTCCATATTATCCATGCAGTAGCTTTCTCCAGGAACCAAGAATGAGTGGAACAGCACCATCAAACTTGCGTGAATTTAAGTGCTTCTGTGATATTCAGAAATGAAAATGAAAATAAATTCTTAGAAAGTTATCTCTTTATGGATTTGAAAAACCAAACACTGACAGATTATCATAATCAAAATATTACATGATTTTAAAGCAAACAGGAAATTAGTAAAAAAATATTACCAATTACCTTGTCACTTTTCATTCATTCATTCTGTCCTGACCCAACCCTGTTACCAGCAAGAAAATCTCAAACAAACGCAGCAACTCAAACCTTCACAGCTTTAATCTACAAATAAACTTCTTTGTAGATAAAAGATGGCTTGCAGCCAATTAGTCCAACCACAAAAGCCTTGACAGAATTCTTCAGATAAGCTGGAGTCTCTACACACAATGCTGGGTCCTTAGAGAGTTTTTGCCTTTTGCAAAGGCAAAACCCTTTTGAAACCAGGCTTATATTCCCTGGAGGGAGGGCCCATTACGTTGCATCCTTACTCCCAAGTCACCTGTGCTGCTCCAGCTGTTCTCTTCTACAAATCATCCTGTGCTCACGCGCACTTGGCACAGGCTCCTCAGGAACCTCCTCATCACTGTTGCCAGCTCCCACAATCCCTGAAGGCAGCAGTCCACTCCCTGATGGTCTCGGCCACTCATCTGAGTCCTCACTCTCCTCCACCATCTGTACCTGCTGCCAGCTAACCACAACACATTCATTCATTCATTCATTCATTTCATCTCTAGCATGGTTACTCATAGAACTGAAAACACTAGAAAGTATTCATGAATTTAGGAATTTAAAAGTATAATACGAAAACTAGTCTATCTGATTTAAAAATGTATTGTCACATCTGGACCATGGCATTAGAACTGCATTCTGTAATATCAGCTTTGCCATAAAAGCAATAGACTTGTTTTAACAAATGCTGAAATTAAGCCTTTGATTTGTGTTTTTTTTAAAAATGTTGGTTCTCTGCCAGGCTCAGGTAGATCCTATATAAAAAAATTGTAGAAAACAACATGAATAACCGGGTATTTTGTATAGCACAGCAAATGTATAAAGTAAGCAAATAGATACGTTCTGCAGTTATCTTAAGTTTTTTGACAAAATTCCTTTTTAAAAAAAACACTTTAGATTTCCCTTCAGTTCTGAAATGGGTTAAGTAAGACATGGCCTATGTTCACATGATACACTGAACCATATAATAGAATAACAGAGTTGGAAGGGATCTTGGAAGCCTTCTAGTCCAACCCTCTGCTCCAGCAGGAAACCTTATAACATTTCAGACAAATGGTTGTCCAACCTCCAATACATGGCGTATATATCATTCCACTAATATGTTGTCTCCAAGATAGTCTTGGATTCTAAAATAATAGGAACAAGTTTGAGATAAAAGCTAGATTGACATAATCTTGATTTCAAAATTTACTATAGCAATGCAGATCTGTGAATAGAGTAGATCCTTTTAACATTTATATTTTATTGTGCTTGCTAACCTAGATGAAATGTTAATATATTTTCCTATCCATGTATGATATGCCATATGCTGAGTAAATAAATGTGAGTAGGGTTTCCAGATCTGAGCTGCAAAACTCTGATCAACCATTCAAGGAGGTACAATAATTATTACTCTTATTACTCTTATCCAGATTATTGAAGCTCTATGAATATTTATTGAGTCTTTGTTGAATTTATTCAGATGGATTTGTGCCGATGACTTTATTTGAAAAGTAAAACTGATTGGTCAAAAGTCTAGACTCAACTTTCAGGCAACTCTACCTTGATGG